GGGGGGGGTCTGAGCGCGCATCATCACGCTAAAGGACGACGCACCTGCACAGCTGCAACATGAACGTGTGTGTGTGAGTTGTGTAGAGTACCACCGCACCTGTTTGACGAGAGAAAGTTTACCATTTTCATAAATCTCTTGACGCCTGATAAGAAAAGAGCGAGTGAGAGAGACGATGCTGTGTTCAGCCCCCCCCCCCTTTTCCTGCGCGCGCGCGCGTGTGTGTGTGTGTGTGCGTGTATCATCTCAAGTTGTGTGTGTGAGCGCGGAACATGGCGCCCTCTGTTTATCGTCGGCCCCGCGTTGCCATGACAACGCCACTTGTCTCTCTAGTGTTTCCCAAACGTGCGGCCATGATGGACTGCATACAAACTGCCGCCCCGAAGGACACATACGCGCTGCGACGACGACGACGCCGCGCCCCACCCCGCCGCGCCGCGCCCCGCCGCGCACACGTCACGTTCCACAGAATTTCGCAGGCGTTTCTGCCATTCCGCCGGCATTCCGGGGCGACAGCTATGAGAGCGTGCGGGGCTATATGAGCCCGGCCCGCCCTGCCACGCCCCTGTCGCGACGCTGTGCGGGGCGCGTCCCTAAACGGTGCGACGCTCAAGAGAGAGACTGCTGGACTGCTGCTCGCATTCAAAGGGAAAGAAGAGGGCCAGACACCTCTCTGCCTTCAGGCGCCCCGTCGTTATACCTGGCTCTCTCGTCGTCCTCCTGTGGGCGACCTCTGCCGAAGCTGTCTGTAAATTTCGGTAACCTTTGTCAAAGTCCCTTGTCGCGTCATCGAGTTATTGGGGTTCACGGTATACGAAAGAGAGCCAAGGTGGGAGGGAGAGAGAGAAAAAGAGGAAGAGAGAGGGCGAGAGAGAGGGAAAGAAAGAGAGAGAGATAAAGCGGGCGTTCTCCGTCCCCCTCGCACTCACGGTCGAACCGGCCGGGCCTCGACGCGAGGTATGATGGACGTATACGATGTCTGGAAGATAGAGGGAGAGAGAGAGAGAGGGGGCGAGAAGAGAGAAGGGGGCCCTAAACAAACAGGAGAGCGTGTGTCGGAGGGAGAGAGAGAAGCTGCTGAGCGCGCGAGAGAAGGAGAGCGAGCAAGGGCAAGGGAGCGGCAGTTGAGAGAGCAAGCGAGAGCGAGAGAGAGAGGAGGCCAAGCTTGTTGTCAGCTCGTAATAATTGTTATTTAAGGAGGATCCCGGTGTGGCGCCCGGCTGGCCGGGGCGTGGCGCGGCGTGGTCGAGGGGGGAGGAGGGGGAGGGGCGCCCTGGGGAGCACTGGCGCCCCTGGCCCCCGGAGCCCCCCTCAGTGCTGGTGTTATGGATAAATTGAAAACTTATCGCCGGCTCGAGGAATGCGGCGGCGGCAGGGCAGCAGCAGCGGCGGCAGGCGGCACCGCTCTCGTTAGACCCGTCCGAACGGACGTCGAACGCACGTCGAACGCACGTCGCGAGCGCGTCAAGAAGGGGCCGCGTCCAGCGGATAGGTATGAGAGGCTGGCGCGGCGGTAGAAGTAGGAGCCGCCGATTTTAAAATCTGAAATTTTTTCAGTAAAAAACTGAGTACATACAGAAGTTTTCAGATTTATATTTTTAACTAAAAATTTTAAAGAAAATCTCTCAAAATTACTTTTTTGGAAAACAAATTCCTATTGACGACGTGCCTGCTTCGTGCCGCGCTGCCGTTGCGAAAGCCCGTAAGTGTCGGGTGTGTGTACGTCGTAAGAGCAAGCGGCACTTGTTCAGCCCTAGGGTTGGTCGCAACAGTCACACACACAGACACACACGTACACACAGAGTAGGCGACACCACTAATGACCCCGTCAAACTGTCAGTCGGGAGATAATTGCTCATTTCGTGTTACGGTAGCCAGTCGCTCGCGCTGGCGCCACGTCTGGTGTGCGGCTGGCTCCGTGCGCACTGCGCTGCTGCTGCTCCGCTGCCCGCCCCAAGTAGTTTGACCCGCGCAGGTGCGTCGACCGCCACGTGCAATTCCTAAACACACACACACAGCCAACTGTGCGTGTGTGTGTGTGCTGAGCGCCGCCTATAGTATGAAAGGGGAAAGGCGGTGGATTCTGAGCGCCAACCCGGCAACAACAAAAAACGATGGGCAAAGAGGGGAGGGGGCAAGGGGATTGTGGTGCAGTTCGCAACCATGTTGCATCGTTCATATCATCCTTCTTCTCCATACCTGTCAGGTTACGCGCCGCAATTTCTCATGCAGCTGGCGCCAGCAGCAAAGAATCGTACTTTCTTGAGCCGGTCGGGGCGAAGTGAAGGGGGGGACGCGGGGAGATGTGTCTGAAAAGAAAAACAAAAATAGAGTTGAGAAGGATGGATATAAAACTTTGGGATGTGGTCGAGAAATCACCCGAAAGAGATTTCCCGGAGCGGCGGCTTCAGGGTTTTCGTGTCGACGTGACACGGGGTCTGTCGCCCGTGCTCATCTCTATGCAGCAGCAGCCCTGGCCCGTGGGTAACTAGCCCAGCTGCGCCCACAGCCGCCCCTCCTCGCCCCCGCTCCTGTTCCAGCCTCAACTAGACCCATGAGCGGCTACACGAGGAATGCGTGTCTCTATTGCGCGACCCATCATGCGGCTCGCTCCGTCAATTTCACACCTCTACCGTCCCCGACAAAGCGGGAGCAGGGGAGCGAGAGAGAGAGAGCCCGAGCAAGGGCGGTCCGGGAGCGAGCGAGCGAGAGAAAAATATATATACCATAATCTCTCCACACCGGGGGCGCCTGGCTGCCTGCTTTGAATAAAATGATTCCCGTGTATCGTTTCACGCTTTGTTCAGAGGCCTTTTTCGACGAGGTCCCTTCCCTTTTACGGTCGCTCCTCGGGGTGCCACCTTAAAACCCACAAGCGTGAGGTGAGGTACCCTCCTTCCTTCTCCTCCCCCTTTGGGTACCCTCCGCTACTCGGCCGAGAGGAGGTACAAACTACACTGCCCGAAAAAGAAGATAAGGAAGCAGAGGGCGGGAAGGAGCGCCAAAGGTCGCAGCCAGCGCAGGCAACCACCACCGGGATCTTCGCACCCAGCAGGCAAGCGGACTTGAAAGAGCCAAGCTTTGGCGTCAAAACAAGGCGAATATGCACGGCACACGGGCAGATCCCACGCAGAGAGGCGTGACCGGCGGGGCAGAGAGGGACACGCATCTGGGAGCGCGGCGACCGAAAAGAGAACAAGCTTCTGAATGTAAATGACTGGGAATAAAGAAAGGGACCCCTCTCGGTTTGGGACGACAGCGCGCCTCCTCTCTCTCTCTTGCTCCCATATCGCGCTGCTCATCCCCGTCTTCTCCGGGTTATACGGCGCCCAGCGGGGGTCCCCCCCTAAAAGAAATGACCAATCCCCATACGTCTCCACTGACACGCCGCTGACGGCGTGTTTTCCATGTCGCGACCGTTCTTACACGCATACCTCCAACGTAGCTGGCAAAAGCATACACACCACCCCGCCAGAGAAAAAAGTGAGACACGTCCCCCCTAACCTGGACTCCCTCTTCTTCTTGTTGCAGACGATCCTCAACTCGATGCACAAGTACCAGCCGAGGTTCCACCTGGTGCGCGGCAGCGACGTGAGCGCGCTCGCCTACAAGCTCTTCCGCACCTACGTCTTCGAGGAGACGGCCTTCGTGGCGGTAACGGCCTACCAGAACGAGAAGATCACCCAGCTCAAGATCGACAACAACCCGTTCGCCAAGGGCTTCCGCGACACGGGCGCCGGCAAGCGGGAAAAGAAGTAAGTAGTGCCGCCACGGCCACACCATGCCCTCGGGTCACCGGCGAATGAGGGACCGCGTCCACTAGTTGCCTCTCTTTCTCTCTCTCTTTTCCAGACAAGCGATGCTGGCCGCGCAGAGGCAGACCGACGACCACAAGTCCACGCCCTCGCGACCCGAGTCGTCGGCGTCCTCGCAGCCCAGCAGCGGTGGCGCGCCTTACACGCCCACGTCCTCGCGGCAGCGGGACCGGGACGTCGGCTCCAGCCCGCCGGCGTCGCACCACACGTCCAGGTCGGACCGGGACGACGACGAGAAGATGAACGTGGACGTGGTGGGCTGCGGCCCCGACAGCCTCCTCGGGTACTCGTTCGCCCACCGGCCCTTCCTCGGCGGCCCCGGCCACCCTCCCTCAGGTGAGAATTGATTTATAATTATCCTGAGAGCCCCGGTTAACGCCGGCGTTAGGCCCAGAGTGATGGTTCTAACCCCACGCCCTTCCCCCCTACAGAGTCCGTCGTCGAGGAGGCCATGCGAGTGCGCATCGACCAGATCACGCTCGCCCAGAAGCACCACCTGTACGACGCCAAGCACGGCGAGGACGGCGACAGCGACCGGGACGGCAGCGAGTCGTCGGCCGAGTCGCACTGCGAGAGCGAGCCCGGCGAGCGGGCCACAGCCTTCCAGCCCATCGCGCGGTCGCCGGACAAGCCGAGCGGCGAACCGGGCGGGCTCTCCAGCCTGGACAACCCGACACCCAGGATGTCCATGGGGCCGCCCATCCAGCCGCCGCCCCAGCTCTTTCCCTACCTGTACCCCCCGAGCCTGTACGGGGGCGCGGCGGCCGCCTTCCAGACGCCGTCGCCGCTGTCGCTGTTCGGACCCGGCGGTGCCGCCGGCGCGGGGATGAACCCCGGGCTGCTGTTCAACGCGCAGCTCGCCATGGCCGCGCAGCACTTCGGCCACTACCCCCACCTCGGCCAGCCCGGAGGTAAGTAGGCAGGACGGCGCTCCCAGCACGACGTGCAAGCTCTGTTGGCGATCAAACTAACAGGCCTCCTCTTTTTCCAGGCGCACTTCAGCACCAGCTCAAGGCAGCCGCCGCGCTGGCCAACAACCACCGGTTCTCGCCGTACCAGCTGGCGCCACCAGTGGCTCCCCCCGTCACCAGCCCGTCGGGCGGCGGCGCTCCCTACCACGGCGCCGTGTCCGTTGGCGCCGAGTCCCCCACCGGCTCCGCCTTCGAGACGGTCACCCCGCGCAGCGCGTGCGGGTCACCGCCGACCAGGTCGCCGCCCCAGGTCTCCCCCTCCCTGCCCCTCAAGAGGCCGGCGTCAAGGGAGCTCCCGTCCGCACCCCCGGCCTCGAGGAGTAAACAGTCGACACCGCCGCCCCCGTCGTCGACGTCACCCCCACCGCCCAGCCTGCCACTGCAGGTGCCGTCCCCCAGCTCAAGCTCGACCACGTCGGCCTCCGTGGAGCTCAAGAGCATCGAAAAGATGCTGAACGGGCTGCAGCAGCAGCAAGAAAAGCGGAACGGGGACATGCCCACCAACACAAGCAGCCCCTTTGCGACCTAGTCCCGTCTGGAGGAACATGAACTTTATAAAAATTCTTCCGGACACACCTCAAGCACAAAGCTAAAAGAAATATGTTGTAGCTTATGTAATTTATGATATTATTTATGAATCTCATTGTAAATATTATACTCTTCTCGCGAGTCTACTTTTTTGCCATTCTGGAGAAGAATCTTTTTCCTCGTTCGTTGGAAGGATCGTCGCTTTTCCCCATGTAAAGATATAAAGTTTAGTCTGATTCTATTTGTTCACGTAGGATTTTCCTGCTGTAAATGTTAACTTTAATGGAACAAAATAGTCCTTTTACCTCTCAACTTATTCTTCTTTTTCCTGATGCTATTATGAAACTGTGTAAGTCTCGTAGCAACATAGTGATTGTATTTAGAATCAAACAGAAAGCTCTCTCTTTATGGTTGCGTTCCATAGAGCTAATTCAGAACTATATAACTCAATCGTTAGAGAGTTGACTTTTTCACCTGGCCTGAGTACAAATTGAGCCTCAGAGAAAGAAACGCACGCCGTGTGGTCTACAGTTAAGTGACAACCAGGAAGAAGATGACTTCAGTTTGGAGTTTAGACTCCCCTGAACTGAAAGTGAAGCGACCTAACCCCAGAGTGTCTGCTCGCACCATGTGATCGTGTAAAGGGTGCGCCTTCTGCACAATATTGGGGAGGAAGCTACTGTTACCGCGGGTTCCCTTCGAGGGGAACCTGCCTTAATTCGGAAAATTTCAAACGACCACAAAAAGACTAAGGTGTGGATTTCTCTGAATTTATCGAAAGGAGCTATAGGAAGCTTAACTTGATCCGAGAAATTAACTGACTTACCTGTCGCTGTTAATTGACGCACTAAAATGCTTTATTTTGCCTTTGTCACGGCAAGGGCTGTGTGAAATGAAATGTTGTATCAAGATTTCATTTTCGGGTATAATATTGATGTGAGGGGGAGAAAGTTTGTGCTGACTTGTCTAGTGTTGCCTTCTCTCTCAAACCCTCCCTATTCCTAAATATATTCCAGAACCAAAGTGCTAATGGTTATAATGTACATTGCACATGACTGCTTTGAGTGTGTATAGAACTCTCCTTTCTGAAAGCAAATGTGGCCTATAGTGATAAATATTGGAACATAAATTCATTTCTTTCAGGCTGATAACATTTGAATTCAGAGAAGGAGCTAAGTTGGTTTTAATTCATCTACTTTAGTGGATCAAAATATGTTTTAACATCCTGTTCCGCAGTCTCTTTGGATGTATTTCAGTGTCTGAAGCTCCTTGGTCTTTTTTTGGGTGTTTATATTCCCAATTTAATTCAGTTGTTTTGTTTGTTTCATTTCAAATTCTAAGCAATAATGGTTTTGAGAAAGTAAGGAGACAATATATATTTGAAAGTA